AATAATGAGGAAGTGAGACAGAAATAAAGAGGCTTATATTTGGATTGAGGTAAGTACTTAATGTTCTCGTATTTAATATTGAGCAACAAGCCCTAGTTTTATTAATAAATCGCTCTACAGTTGTCTTTCCCTTTTACTTCTAGTTGATTCATATTTTCCAGAGGGGCCCATAGCATCAGTTAAAAATGATTTAAAATTGTTTCTATATATTATAAATTGTTTCTTGCTTAAGACCAGAATATTTTGAGGCAACAAATTTGGAAATAAGCCGTTACTATTTCTATACTAATGATAAAGGTGATGGCAAGAATGATTTTAAGTCTGTTTTATATTTTATTTTAAACATCATTTCACAGAACTGTTTAAATGTGTTCATTTTACGTTTTTTTGTACAAACCTTAAAACAGCACCAAAGGTCATGTTTAGAACTTGGATTACCATTTCTTTGGGAGTGCCTTTAATATTTGTACTTTGATGCATTGAGGTCTTTTAATGTTAATGCCTTATTAACAGAATTTCTTTTACTTTCTTTACAATTCTGATATTGGGAAATAGGATCAAAGTAAGTATAATATAATTAAAATATTGATTTTAGTTTCAATCTATTTTCTAGAAAAAAGGTAGATGATCATGTTCATCTTTTATTCCTAATTCTTATCTTGATGCCTGGTTCATAATAGACCCTGAATAAATATTTGTGAATTGAGGATAATACTTGAGTCAGTATCTTTTTAGAAAAGTTGTGTAACTGTGTCATAATAGAGCATGCAGCATTTCTAGCCCATCTTATTGCAGTATTCTTTCCAAACTTGATGTCAGGGTCAGTGCTTAAGTGCAAAAAGATGAGTTGGCTGTGAAATGAGTATCCAGCAATCATCTCTCCATTATACTAGCCAGAATTCATTCCAGAACTCAAGTTGCACTATTCAAGAAATGTGTGTTTGCTGATGAGATTTTAAAGAAAGTCACACTTTATGTCACCCTGGCCCAGTGCTTTAATCATGCCCAGAATCTCTTCTTCATTATAGGCCTATTTTTCTCCAACTATCACTTTTCCTCTTGTGATTTATTTAAAGGTATATTTTTAGCTCCTTAACCAGTCTGTTTTATCAGCTTCTTGTTTTGTATGTTAAATAGGTTGTTGGATTTTGGGGGGCGGGAGATGAAGATGGCGGTGAGGTCTGTATCTCATCTCTGTAAAATGTCAAGCAGTGTGTTAGACATTTGGATAGAGGTGAAGTACAGTGCCTAGCACAGCATCTGGTGTAGTCATCTCCCTCGAGGAGCAGTAGTAAACTGTCCCCTTGAGAGGATTGCTCAGTTCCCCTTTCTGTTGTGCAGCTGTAACAGTTGGTTCTAATTCCACACTGAATTCTCAGGCTTCTGTAGAACTCCTTTGAACACCACATCATATGTTAGTCACAGTAGCTGCTGTAACAAAAAGCCTCCCAATTTCAGTGGCTTAGCAGCTTATATGTTTATTTTTCACTCATATTGAACAACACAATGTGGCTCCAAGTACGTGGGCTCTGCCACACATGGTCCTTTAAGGACCCAGGCTGAGGGAAGCTCAGCCATCTTCCAAGCTCACCTTGGATGTCAGCATCCAGATTGCAGAAGGTGAAAGAGCATGAATGATTGCATGTGAGAAGTTTTTATGGGCCAGAGCCTGGAAATCACAGATAGCACCTCTCTCTCTTCCATTGTCTGGAACTCAGGCACATGGCCATCCCTAACTGCAATAGGAGACTGGACATGCAAGTAATTGGGTCCCAAAAGAGTACCTGTTAAGCTGGGTGGAAGGATGGTGATGCATTTCCCACTTGCATCAGAAAGGATGTCTTGTATAACTTGTTTTTTTCTGCCGGTATAGATAGAATGATGTTTTTTTTTTTTGTAATTCATTCTGATTCAGAAATCATTTCGGAATTGAAACGGAGGGAAACATTTTATTATTTTTTTGCAATACAGTGAACATACTGAAAAAAGTAGGAAAACCAAATATTTGAAGGCTTTCCTGTTAACCTGCTAGAAATGCTTTTTATTAGGAGATCCTCCTGTTCTCTTTCCCATCTCGCAGACTACTTTTGTGAAACACCTCCTCTGTGAAATCCCCCTGGGTCTCTTCCTCCCATGCCTGCTTCCGCAGGCACCGTTGGCAGTCGCATCGTCAGTGCTCTGCTAGAACTTGAACGTAACTCTGTTAGTGTAATCCATTCGTCTACTCACTCGTCCAAACACCTCTAATGCAAAAAAAAAAAGATGAAAGAAAAGAAAAAAGTTGAAATTCACTGTGATAGAATTACATACTGAATAGTACACAGGGACACAGGGAACGGGCACTTAGCTCTACCTTGGAAGGAGGGATTGGTGGGATATGCTTCTTTTAGAGGAAGGAAGTTTGGTCCAAGTCTCTTTAATTACCCATGGAGACTTGCCTTCCCCCAGATATTGAAGTTTATGAGGAAAAGAAGCCTGTTTTGATACTCTCCAACACCAGCACCCAGTACAATGCTAGGCTCATACTAGACACTCAGTAAGCTGAATTGACTGAACTGAATTGACTGAAGAAGATGTAAGCCAATCAGTTTATAAACTTTATTTACTACACAGTTTTCTGTACATTATCTGATACTCTCCTCACAACAGCTCTTTGATAGAGCAGATATTCTTATTCCTGGTTTTTAGATAATGAACCCAAATTCACAGAGTTTTGATGTTTTGCCAATGTCACACAGGGGTTAATAGATCTCAGGTGTTCTGCACCTAATCTTGTGTATTTTTCACTCTTGGAAACAAATATTTAAGTATCAAAACAATGCTTTGAAATTTGAGGCATGTGCTTTAAGGATAACTATCAGACCACTTGAATCTGTGAGTGATGAAGGCTGTTCATTTACGTTGAGTCAAGCAAGAATGTTCTTTTTTTTTTTTTTTTGGTGAGAAAGATCAGCACTGAGCTAACATCAATTGCCAATCCTCCTCTTTTTGCTGAGGAAGACTGGCCCTGGGCTAACATCCGTGCCCATCTTCCTCAACTATGTATGAGATGCCGCCACAGCATGGCTTGACAAGTGGTGCGTTGGTCCACGCCCGGGATCCGAACCTATGAACCCCGGAGTGTGTGAACTTAACCACGGTACCATCCAAGAGTGTTCTTTTTAATAGCAGCAAAGAGAAGGTCCTTCTATCATGTTTTATAGCTCTTTATATTCCTGCCAGCACAGGAATGTACCCAGTAGGTGCTCTATAAATATTTCTTAAATAATTGACAATGATTTAAAGTGTGTAAATTGGATTCACCTAAATTGGACAAGCTTCAAGTATGAGGCTATCATAAGCTTTTACCTGTAATCATTGCATCACAGGGGACAAAATTGCCTATGGTATATTCTAATTCAAGGGATTTTTTTCTTTAATTCAAGGCATTGTTCACACACTACCTTGGTTGCCGGTTTTCTCTGGATTCTTCATTCTTCTAGCACTTACACCCTTGGGGTCTGCCCAAGGACACTGTGTGTGGAAGCTGAGACTGGCTGGAGGTTCTTACCACAGCAGGTCGAGACGTTTTGAAAAATTTACTTTAGTGTCTTTGATGCTTCAAAAATCTCAAACTTCATTTGTATTAGAGTTTATGATGGACATTCATTGCTTCCATATTTTGTCCCATAAAGATATCAGTATTCTCCACAGAAATATTATGACCTGGTACCTAACTTACTAAAATTGCAGCTTACTAAGGATGAAGGTATGGCATATAGAAGTATAAAATTACACATTTACACATAGATATTCTGATTTACTTCAAACTTACATGTCTGAAGACAGACTCATTTTGTACCTTCCACTCCCTTTCTGCTCCCCACCCCCCAAACATTGCCGGCTGCTACCCACCTCATGGTGGCCGGCTCCAAGCCATGAGACATCCTGATGACTTGCTCCTTCCTTTCGTACTGCACATCTAATTGATGTTCACACTGTGTTGCCTTGACCTCTAAAATGTTTCTGAAATCAGGGGATTTGAGTCCGTGTTTTAAAGTCTAGTGAGTGTGTTGCCTAATCTTCTTGTAGCTATGAAAGTATGGGAAAGGAGCTGAGACCCTTGTGAGAATTTACTGTCAAATCAGCAAGAGGACTTGGATTAAAAAATAAAATTTTAAGTAGGTTTCAATGTTAGAAGACATTTCTCTTCAATATACTTGAGTAAGAATTTATTTCATCATCTCTGGAAACATTTGCTTTTTCCAAAACTCTGTAAACCGAGAGATAGAATAGACAGTGGGAATTATTCCGAGTGTGTGGCACATAGAAGGTGGTTGGTAAATGTTTAATGAATGAGGAGATGGATAGATGAACAAAAATAGAATGGTAATGGTGAAAGGATCCTGAACTCTGCTTCTATTTTCTGTTTTTGCTTAACAGGAATATATTTTTCATTTTGTTTTGGTTTATTTTTCTAAAAGCAAGGTAAATGCCAAGTTTTAGAAATATAGACCCACCTTTCATATTAATCATTACTAGGGAAATACCATTAGTGCCTCAGCCTATTACCTACTGGCATTTTAATCTGCAAGAATTCCAAGAGAGAGCTTTAGAAAGTGTCTGTAATTGAAGACTCAGTGGTGCCTATTATATGTTTAAAAAGAAAGAAATGGATGTCAGGGGCATGTGGATTTCAATCTCATGTTATTAGAATAATATGAATGTGCCAGAATTCTGGAAAAGTCCTTAAGATTTTTCTTATCCACTGATTGTCTTATTGCTAATATATCATCAACAAAATAATGTTAGCCATACTTAATAAAGCAGCATCTTAATGTTTATCCTTCAACCATAGAATAACAAAATATTAAGGTTGTAAACCTTCAAGTACTAAGCAATGAAGGTCAGTGATTTTTTTGCTCATTAATTATTCCAAAGGCTTATTAGAAGTTAATTTTGTTCTGCCACATACTAAAGTGAAAGATAGAGAATCACTTTTTTCTGTTTCTGTTTTGCAGGGGAAGATGGTGAAAGGGATGGGAGGTGCTATGGATCTAGTGTCGAGTGCCAAAACCAAAGTGGTGGTCACCATGGAGCATTCTGCAAAGGTAACCTGTGCTGCTTTTGGAAATTCACAATACAGCGAAATCCTGTACACCAGGTCACGTGACTGTGGTTTTTATTGTTTTCTCTGATTTATTCAAGTTGATAGCGTTTATATTTTAGAGAGAAATGTTACAAATAAAGGCAGTTATTTATTATCATTCAGCTAAATGGTTGTTTAACTTTGAATGAAGCAAGCATCAGGTTGTTCTTTGATTATTTGCCTCACATACACTTTAAAGGTAAAAGGTATAATGTCGTCAAAAGCAGTGAAAAGGTATCAGGGAAGATGTGTTGACTCAAGTTTAAAGATGATTATAGTGGTTACTATCTGTGTGCAAAATGAAAAATACAACAGAATATGAGTTTTTAACAACAGTATTTTCAAATGGACAATATGATCTCTTACCAAGGCTGTGAGGTGCCATTTTGAGAAGGTGTTAGAAAATGGTGGACTTGGTGATGGTAAATGTCCTTATTCTGAAAAGTATTATACTTTTATTTTGATAAATGATCAAATATTTATTGAGTGCCTATTACGTCCTAGGCACTACTAGGATTTGGCAATGACCAAAACTAGACAAAAATCATTGACTTCATGGAGTTTACATTTAATAATAATGATGATGATGATGATGGTATTAACATCCTACAATAATGATAGCTTCCATATATTGAGCTTACTATGTGCCAACAGTACACTAAGCACTCTGTGTGTGTTTGTGTATACAAGCCCATGAACTTGATATAGGTATTTTTTGGGCCGGCCCCATGGCTTAGCGGTTAAGTGTACGCGCTCCACTGCTGGCGGCCCGGTTCGGATCCCGGGTGCGCACCAACGCACCGCTTCTCTGGCCATGCTGAGGCCGCGTCCCACGTACAGCAACTAGAAGGATGTGAAACTATGATGTACAACTATCTACTGGGGCTTTGGGGTGGGGGAAACCCATGTGATACAGGTATTTTTTTATGGTTCCAGAAACAGAGCTTCAGAGAGATTAACTAACTTGCCTGAGGTCACATAACTAGTGGAACTGAGATTAGACCTGGGGGTCTCTGACTCCAAAGCCCAGTCTTCTAACTACAAAACCATCAGTATACCTTTCTTTCTTGTTCCCAACTTAGTATCTTTGAATCAACTGAGCTTAATTGCTTTCCTGACCTGAATCCATGGGCATCTGATGATTTGTAAAGTTGATATTGGGTTGTATCCACTTGATTTTCTATGCCCTTTGTTCATTCTCCTTCCTTCTTTACAATTCTTAGTTTTAAAACAAAATCTACCTATTCCCACCTTGAGACCTGCTAATTTGGGTAGAAGTGGTAGTTCATTGGCCCTGTGTTTATTTAGTGATGCTGCATTGTGGGAGAGCATGGAGCTGGAGGATTTGCATCTGACTTGCTTCCCATGGGAGAGTTCTGTTACAGTGATGTGTGCCATGAAATGGTTTTGCTGTTAAAACTGTAATAAATATGAAATTATCATAAATTGTTTTGTAAACAGTGGAAAGTGAGCAGTGGAGCATAAATATGGAACAATAGAAATGAAACAAACACAGGTGACTTCTGAGAGATGCTTTGCAAAAGCATCCAAAATACTTCATTTCAGAGGCAAAAGGATGCCAAGCATGCAAATCAAATCCAAATTTCTTCCGGAACATAACGTCTGTTTGGAGAAAACTCTTTCTGACTTTCCTTTTGTTGTTACTTTAATGTTGATGCATAGGCACTGAAGTCCGACTCATTTCAGATTATTTTTGTGCATTCATTTTCAAAACATTCGGCCCTTATTTAGCAAATTCTCTCTCTTTTTTTCTCAGAGTCTTTTCTTTCTCCCCAGCTGGAAATTCTGATAAAGGAAAAGAAATGGTGCTTTGAACTTCTGATTAGAAATCCCTTATTAAAGCTTTTTACAGAAGCAAGATAATATTTTTACCATTTCTTCTTTTTCTTCTCTCAGTGGGGACATTGGCATTGAGTTTTAGACCAGAACTGGAGTTAGGTATTTTTTCCTAGATACTTTCATTTGAATAAACTAACAAAAAATATGTTCGTGGGGCCGGCCCGGTGACATAGTGGTTAAGTTCACACGCTCCACTTTGGTGGCCTGGGGTTTGCAGGTTCAGATCCCAGGTGAGGACATACACACCGCTAATCAAGCCATGCTGTGGCAGTGTCCCACATACAAAGTAGAGGAAGATTGGCACAGATATTAGCTCAGGGAAAATCTTCCTCACCAAAAAAAAAGTATATAGGTATTTGTGATTAAGATAATAATAGTGATTTGTTCACAGTTACTAGTTACCTAACCTTGAAAACTGACCAACAGAAGTTTCTCTTCTTGCTGCCTTCACTTTTTACCGATGGTCATGGGAATATGTGGTTGCTCCTGTAGTTACTGGACCAGCTTAAGGGAACATGGGGACCTCGCCACTTCATTCCTACGTCTATTGCTCTGGCTAAAAGTTGGTAGGAGCTGGAAAGGAGATAGAGGAGGGAGGTTTTTCACTTCTGGTAGCCTCTCCAGTTAATGATCTGTTCTTTTAGAAATGCCAGGTAACTTCTGCTGCCTTAATGATGAAGTGAACAGCCTAGGGGACAAATCCCTAGAGTTTTGTAAGACACAAGAGTGAAAAGTTTGTAATGAAGGATTAAAACCTGAGAAGAGAAATATCATCTTGGATTCTTGTGCTGCTAATTTTTTTTCTGTAAGTGGGTAGACCTGACACCTGGTTTTCAGGTGCAGCTTTCTTTTTACTCCTTTTCTTCATCTATAGGGTTACAGATGCAGGTAGCTTATCAGTATAGCATTACCTGACCTTAAAACTCATGCTTTTTTGTTGTTCTTTTAATCAGACAAAGGAAACTCTTTCCTTGCAAGCCTTTGCAGCCAGCCAGCAGCTTCTGGAATTTGAAACCTGGCTGACTACTAATGCTGCTCTAGAGTAACCATCATAACGTTTCCCCTGCCTTGAAACTACTTCTGGAGACATATGGCAGGCACTGGTGTCAAACTGGCATTGTAGCAAGATTTTCATTTAAGTTTGGGCATCAGGGTTTCGGGCAATATGGCAAAGTAGGCACAGTTTTTTGGTGTCTTTCTTAAGCTTCTTTTCATCTCTTGATATCCTTCTTCTGCCCTCTAAAATTTGGAAGAAAATGAAAGAAAAGAGCAATAGTCTGAGTCCTTCCTGGGCGCAAGGCCCTGTGCGTGGCATTGCACATACTGAATCTCATTAGCCTCTCAGGGACCCTCTGAAGTAAGACTGGGATGTAGGCAGGTAAGAAACTTGTCCAGGAGTTTCTTTACTCCAGAGCTAGGAGTTTCAGTTTGGGTCAGCCTATGTTCATCAGACCATATCATGCTGCATCCTCACCAGAGCTACCTCTGCACCAGCATCCCACCCACCCCTGCCCTTCACTGGAAGCGTCAGGTTTCAGAATTACCTATTTCTCTTTTTTTATTTTTCCTAGTCAAAGCTCTCCTTGCTTTGGTAAGATAGATATCAGCAAAGTACTTAAAGGAAAACAATCTGAGAATCTCATTGTGCCCCTTAGTACCCATCTACCCGTCTTCCCTTCTGTATTAGAATCCTCCAAGTTTTATTTGGGCACATAGTAGCCCAGTGACAGACTACATTTCCCAGACTTGCTTGTGTGTAGACGCCTCTGTGCGACCAAGTTTGGGTCAATGGGATTTGAGCATTTGCGATGTGTGTAATTTTTGAGCCATGTCCTTAAAGCTGATTTCATTGGACTGACTTTATGCCCCTCTGGCAATCTGAGAAAGGCTTAACTGCAGCAGCAGCCTTGGACCCACAGCTGTAAACCATATGCTGAGGCTTACAGAGCTGCTGCACCACCCTGGATCCCTGGGTGCCCTGTCCCCTTCTTTGCGGATACCTGCCAGGACTCCACATAACTCCAGCCTTGGCCCTCTGCTCTTCTCACCCTCTACACCTTTCTTGGGTGCTATCTAAATTTTTGGCACCGATTATTATTTTTCACTCAGTCACTCCCTAATCCTTATTTCACACTGGAATTCTCTGATAAGCTCTAGAACTGTGTTTCTTCCTTATGAGACAACTTCACAACTCCACCTGGGTGTTCCACAGACACCTCAACTGCAACACATACACAAGTGAAATCATCATCACTTTCCCTAAAAATTTGCTTCCAGGTGCTTAGCCCAAGTAGGGTGGTGATGGTCTCCCAGCCCCCATCTGGAAAGGCACCCAGGGTACTTTCCGCCCCCACCCCTGCACCAAGCACTGTAAATACTGTGTCCACAGTGCCCCTGTGATCTGCTCCCTCCTGTGCGTTTCTGCTCTCCTTCTTTAGGTCCTTGTCACATCTGCATGGATCACTGTTGCATTGTCCCCAAAAGTCCCCTTGCTGCCAGACTGACCCTCCTTCCTGGTAATCAGGCACACCACTGCCAGAGTAGCCAGTCTAAAAGTGGATTGTGTTAAGTCCACACTACTTAGTTCACTTTAGCGCACTGGCCTTTTGTCATCAGCTCCACGGCAGCCTCCCTCATCCTTGCTCCCGGGGCTTCAGTTCTGCTAGGATCTCCACAAATGCATCACGTTGTTTCCTGTTCTTCGCTGTTTCCATATTCTGTTCCCTTTCCCTTTTTATCTGGCTCACTCCTACCTCTACACAATCGGATATAAATGAACCAACATATTATGAATTTGCTGGCTTAGTGTCTTTCATCCTCTAGATAACATGAATAATAAAATGAATATCCTTTGATGCTTTGTCTTGAAATTTGGTAGAATTACCTTATATGAGTATGTTAATTTACTTGTTTATGCAGGCATCAGATATTTACTGGGGACCTGCTATGTACCAGACGCTATGATAGCATCTGAGGAAATAAGACATGGAAAGATATGGTCCTACCTTTACGCAGCTCAGTCTCATGGATTTGGAGTCCTGGAAATCAATAATTAAAATAGAAGTGTGTGCAGAGAAGAGTGCACAGAGTCGAGGACCCAAT